AAATAAGTATTAGTTTGGGGTTATTATAAATGCACTTAGACCCACACTAGGTCAAAGACTGTTTTGAACATATAGTGCATTATTCTCTTGTATAATTTTTTTACTATCCTGGTCAACTTTTGAGATGTTAGTGATAATTTCTTCTCGGCAACTCTGATCTGCTCACTCTCGTCGCTCACACATTTCTGCTGCTTATTCTGAGCACCCCATGTCCCTGACAGCTCTGTGTTTGCGGCAAAGCCTCCTCTCTCCTCAGCAGAACAGAGGTTTGGGCTTGCTGCATTTCTAAGTGGGCTGATTTTAAAGGAGAATGCTTTTTTCTAAGGTGAGAACAGTTCTTTGCATGCAAACAACCTTGCCTACTATAGTATTTTAGAAAAGGCCAGGCCTTTCTTCCAGGCCCCTCCCTACTCTCCACCCAAATTAAAAAGAAAGGAGACACTAAACCATTATCTTCTCAGACAATATGAACAGACCATAATTTGCCATATATTAATTATGCTTACATAATCTGGTTTCAGAAAGCATTTTATGATAAGGGAAGAAAATATACAATCAGGCTATTAAAAGTAACAAATTAAAATTATGAACAGAAAAATAAACCACAATGTGCTAATTTTGCAGGATATAAGACACTATCATAAATACATTAAATTTATTTTTGAGCTTCCTAGAAGTCAAAGCAAAAATGGATGAATTATGAGCTTGCTTAGTGAGTAGGAAGGAAAATGGTAATTTTTTAGTATCTGTCACATATCACCTTGGTTCTAACACAAACTTATTTCCTAACATGATATTAGTTCTTGGCGCCCATTTTAATGTGGGGAAGCAAATGGAGACAAGAGAAAATGTCTTTAGCAAGGCCAGATAGCTAGCAACCATGGAATTATTTTGTCTTCAGTTGTAGCCGGCCATGTTCTTTCTAGGAGCATGGTGACAAACTTTAACTTGGTGAAGCGATTTCTGTAAGCCCTTGTGTATTTTTTCCCGGGGAACACAGGAAAACGGGTTTAATTGGAGGATCGCTCATTGGAATCTGTCAGCCATTGCTTTCTGCTCCATGACCGGGCACAGATAGGCTCTGCAGTTTCTATTGCCAGAATACAGGCAATGGAGGGAAGCTTGGTGAGGACCAGGGAATGAGTTTCCTCTTGTAATAAGAATGCCTTCTGCATTCCAGTAATAAAACTCATTGAAATTATTTCTTTATTGTTGACACTGGATATTAGTTTCTAGGGTCTTTTGTAAAAAACATTCATAGGGTGTAAAGAATAGGCAGTTGTTCTTCCGTGATTCCAGAAGCCAAAATCAAAACGTTGGCCAGCAGTGTCACTGCAGAGGCTTTAGCAGGGATCCAGCGTTCGCCTTACCCAGATCCTGCTGGCTGCCAGCAGTTCTCAACTTGCGACTGCATTGCCCAGTCTGTGGTCACACTGCTTCCTTCTCTTCTGTTTCTGTTCTCCCTCTGTCTCTCTCAAGGACAGGTGTGAGAAACTTTAGAGCCACCTCTACTCTAGGGAAGCTCTCTCTCTCTCCTGGGAGGAGCTCTTTCTCTTCCCACATTTCTCACTTCCTTCTCAGCCACTGTCAGCAGTGCCTTTCACATTGGAGTTCCTGTCAGCCTTCTGGCCTTGGCAGTGAGCTACCCTTAGACCAGAGGCACACCTCTGGGTGCTCCTCAGTCCTTCTGACCCTCACTAGAGGTGCCTTGTGTATTTATATGATATGTCTACCAAAAGTCTGTTCAAGCAAAGTACATTTCTTTCATGCAGTTCATATTTTTTCCACAAGTTATTCATTATCCAATTCAAATTTCTAGGTATTGTTACAGTAGCACCCTAGTTGGTAGTAGAGATTACAATAGATTGGGTGACCTAAAACTGAAATTTTAAGTCAGTTTTAACTTCAGTTTTGAAGCTAGCCATCCATAATCAATACCAATCAAGAACCATGTTCTCCAGATGAGGGTCCATTCCTGGTCTGTCCTGCTTCTGGTGGCTGTCAGCATCTTTGCCTCTGTGATCCCATCACTTCCTCTTCTTTCGTGTGTCTGTGTTTTAATTTGCCTCTTCCTATCTCTTACGAGGATACTTGTCATGGCATTTTGGACCATATA